AATCAAATTTTAAAAAATATATTATGTTTGTGGAGGAAGCATAGATGTTACATCATGTTAATTAGTAGAGGTGATGAACATTACCATTGAAATCTACTCGATGACATACACAGGCACCAAGGATCCAAGTGCAGCAGATTATGACTAGTAATAATCAGACACATACATATTAGAGATGCATGCGCCAACATCTCAGTGTTATTAGCAAAAACAATGAGTCTTTCTGTAAGAAGCAGACCCACCCAGGGCTTAGGGACCATTGCAGAAGAAGGGGCAGAAAGATTGTAAGAGGCAGAGCTTATACTGAGTTCAATATTGTGTAACTGTATTCATTGAACAGCAAACCTAAAAATATTATAGCCATTTTTGAAAGAGATGTATCTTTGCTCTGGAAACTCTTGAGTATGTTAAAGCTGTAATGAAATGCTTCTTTTAAAAAAATTAATCAATTAAAAAATTATATTGTTTCCGTGGAAAATATGGAAATATATAAGAGAGAGAACAAAATACACATGTGATGTTTTAAGAGTAGAGTTTACTGTAAGTTACTGTTTGGAGTTTCCACTCTCCTGTCCTGAGTTCTTCCTAAAGTGAGAGCGACAGGTCAATGGCAAGCAGGCAGGCCTCTTGCCTTTTCCTAGAACCTGTGTCAGGTAATCATTAGGATATTTGGAATGTGACATAGCTTGGCTATTCTGCCCCAGAGTATGGGAAGTCAGTCTCAGCCAATGGACTACATCATGGTTGGTATTATTTTCTTGGGAATAAAAAGCCTTTAGCTTGTCACATTTTAGCCAAAATATTAGAAATGAATTCTTTAAATCTTAAAAAAATATGATAGGTAAGAATGCTTTATTATTGCTTTAATTTGACCACTGGAGCTTGAGCATCTTATGTGGTCAGCGGCCACAAGTAATTCTATTTCGATCCATTCCATTGCCCCACCCCTTTTTAATTGGTTATATTTTTGTTCACTATACTTTAGTAATATTGTTATCCTTTCTAATTACTAAGAGTTGGTTTGGTTGCTGTTATGCATTGCCAGTGTTCATCTAGAGTATTCGTTTTTGCCTTGTGACTGACTATATGTCTTGTTATATGTTAGTTTTTAGTTTGTCTAAAGTTTAACTTTATTAGTTTTGTTTCCTGACTTCTGGGATTCCTGTCTTGTTCAGAATTTTAGTATTCATTCTTTCTTCTTCATTTCTTCCTTCTGATCATTCTCTCTCTCTCTCTCATTTTCTTTTCCTTTTTTAAAAAAATATTTTATTTATTATTTTTATTTTAAGTGTATGTGTGTATTGCCTGCATGTAGATAAGTACACCTGTGCTGTGCAATGCCTGCGGAGGACAGAAGAGGCTGTTGGATCCCCCGGAACTGGAGTTGTGGACAGTTGTTAGCTGCCATGTGGGTGCTGGGATTTGAACCTGAGTCTTCTGCAAGAACAGTCAGTGTTCTTAACTGCTGAGCCATCTCTCCAGCCCCATCCTTTTTTCATCGTTAGTCTATCTGGATTTAATTTTTGTTCCTGTTAGGAGTTTGGGATCAAATTTTAAATTATTCTATAGTCTCCAAGTTTCCTTCTAGCCTTATGGTGGTTTGATGAATTGTCCCTCCTGAAGTTTTCCATAAAACCCTTCCTTTTTCTTGGTGCAAATATCTAAGGAGACGGTTAATTTGGCTTTTCCCAAGCCTGACTTCCCTGTGACCTGTGCTGTTCTCCAGCCACCTCCCTTTCTCCTCTGATGTAGAAGTGTTTCCCAGGATCACATCCTGTTTCCATGAATCATCTCTTCTAGAGCATGAACTGCAGACTCTACTTAAGGGCTATGTTCTAGTTACTTTTCTGCTGTTGTGATAAAATATTATGACCAAAAGCAGCTTAGAAGACAAAAGGATTTATTTTGGCTCATGGCTCCAGAGGGATGGAGTTCTTCATGGAGGGGGGTGGGGGATGGAGGCTTGCATGTTGGCAAGAGCAGGAAGCTGGCTAATCACATCTTCATCCACACATAGGAAGGAAAGAGAGAGAGAGAGAGAGAGAGAGAGAGAGAGAGAGAGACTGAACCCAGACTATAAACCTGAAACCTCCCCCAGTTGTGTACATCTTTCAGCAAGTCTCTGCCTTCTGAAGGTCCCATAACCTCCCCAAACAGCACCACCAACTGGGGATAAAGTGTTCAAATACACTCATAAATTAACCCATTTTTGACACTATCATTTGTGTTAGGATTTATTAGGGTTTTTTTCTTTACATTTGTCCAATAGATGTTGATCTTTATTATTTGTTGAAACAGACTTCAAGAGCCCACTGTTCTACGAGTAGTAGAGAGCACTGCAAGTGTCAGGGTCCTAAATTTTAAAGTCCTTTAATTCAACAAAAAATACCCTGCTTAAGCATGAAAGAAAACCTATTTTTCCTTTCCTTAACTTCCTCCACACCCCTCTGGTAAGCTCCTTAACCCTAACCCTTTGGCACTTTCTGAATTGTAAGCAGAGAGTCAGGTGTGAGTGCAGCAACCAAGCTCTGTGCAATTGCTTTAATGGTATTTAAAGAGGTGCTTAACTTTTAAATATGCTTTTAGAATGAATGCTCTTGAAACCTAGTAACCTCTAATACCTAGTAAAAGTAATCAAACAAGATCTCCTTTAACCACTGTGTAATGCTTTCTCATTATTAGGCTATTGCAACCATTTAGTGATCTTTTTCCTTTAATATATTTTGGTTGTAAACTCTCAGGATAATTATAAAACTACAAGCAAAAGGGAAAAGACACAGTGTCGTTGAAAAACAAAAAAAATATGTGTTAAATTCTAAGCATAAAGGCTAATGAACTAAAATGCAACTTCCAAAGTCAGTCGTTTCACCAGGTGATCACAGTCTTCACAAGTTTAGACGGTGTCACTTCGAATTGTGGGAGAAGTAACTTTATTATGAGTAAACTTGTGTGAAGATGGTTTGTTAGTGATAGAATTGTGTGAAGTTGCTTTGTTAGTGATAGAATCGTGTGAAGTTGCTTTGTTAGTAATAGAATTGTGTGAAGATGCTTTGTTAGTAATAGAATTGTGTGAAGTTGCTTTGTTAGTGATAGAATCGTGTGAAGTTGCTTTGTTAGTGATAGAATCGTGTGAAGTTGCTTTGTTAGTGATAGAATCGTGTGAAGTTGCTTTGTTAGTGATAGAATCGTGTGAAGATGGTTTGTTAGTAATAGAATTGTGTGAAGTTGCTTTGTTAGTGATAGAATCGTGTGAAGATGGTTTGTTAGTAGATTTACTGAATAACAGAGAACTGACAATAACAACAACTTAAATTTAAGGAAGCACTCGATTGTCTCAGAAGAGACTAGAGGCAGCCAGCTGAGTCCAGCTTAGCGGTTGTAAGATCATCAGGGCCCCTGCTTCTTTCTTGTTTTCACTTCCATATCCTCAGTAGGGCACCTTGTCAGACAAGGTGCTTCCGCCTGTAATCCCAGCACTTGAGAGGCTGAGGTAGGAGAATTGATGCCAGGGCTATGGCATGAGTTTTAGGGTCGCGTGGACTATGATGTGAAACCCTGTCTAAAAAAAGGGTGTGTGGGGGCGGGCACCCACAGCCAAACGTAGCTTCTCAGGCTCCAGACTTTGCCTTTGCCTTACAGTCAACAGGAAGGAGATGCAATGAAGGCACGTTCTAGAAGTGACCCATGACAGCTTCTTCCTAAATAGCACTGGAAAAAAAACTTATTTGAGGATGATGAAAAATTCTGGACCTGGGTGGTATTGGTAGTTGTATAGCAATGTGGATGTACTTCATATACCGTATACTTAAAACTGTTAAAACGGTAAGTTTTATGTCATGATATAAACAGTCATATAGTAGGGGAGAAGGCTGGGAAAGGTGGTATTTATTTCAGATAGTCATTGCCTTTCTGAAACTCTGAGATTCTGTTACTAATGAAGAAAAGGAGGGTAAACACTGAGGGATACTTAGCTTTTTTTTTTTTTTTTTTTTTTGAAGCAGGGTCCCCCTGTACCCCCCGCTGTCCTGGAACCCACTATGTAGACCAGGCTGGCCTTGAACTCACAGAGATCCACCTGCCTCTACCCCCCAAGTGCTGGGACTACAGGCATGGGCCACCACCTAGCATTTTAAAAAATATTTTCTTTATTATTTTTATTTTTATGTGTACGAGTGTATTGCCTACATGTGTGTGAGTGCACCCGTGTCATGCAAAGGCTTTGGATTTGAAACAGGAGTTAAAGGACAGCTTGTAGCTGCCATGTGGGTGCTGGGAATCGAACCCAGGTCCTCTGCAAGAGCAGTCAGTGCTCTTAACCACTGAGCCATCTCTCCAGCTCTGCATTTTTAAACATGTACAATGGTGGAGCACAGAAGGAAAACAGACATAGAAACTCATGAATTACCTATGGAGTGAATGGGTAAAAGGGATTAACAACTGTGTGTCTGCCTGAGGTAAAGGCACCCTTGGGTGTGGAGTCTAGAATTCTCCCGTTCTGTTTACTCAGTGGCATTGCCAAAGCGTGGAATCGGGCGTATTTTGGAGAAGGATCTGGCCCAATAATGTTGGATGAAGTTCGCTGCACGGGGAATGAGCTGTCAATTGAGCAATGTCCTAAGAGCTCCTGGGGAGACCATAACTGTGGCCATAAAGAAGATGCTGGAGTGTCTTGTGCCCCTCTAACAGGTGAGCGTCTTACTTCTATGACGTGCTAAATTCTGTACCCACAGCTGGGACTACCACAGCTTCCCTTCTCAGTTCAGGTATTGTCAAGTTAGCACACAGATAGCTCTCCTAAATTAAACTAAAAATAAAAACAAAACAACAAATTTTATCTTAAAATGCCATCTTTTTACTCACAGATATTTCTGAAATTTCTATTTAAAATTTTTAATTTCTTTATTTTTCCTTCATGTGTATGTGTTTTGCCTGCTTATATGTAAGTGCACCAGTGTCACACAATGCCCATGGAAGCCAGAAGAGGGTGTCAAATGCCCTGGAACTGGATTTACAGATGGCTGTTAGCCTCCATCTGAATGTGTGCTGGAGACCAAACCCAGGTCCTCTGCAGGAGTAGCCAGTGCTTGTAACCACTGAGTCATCTCCCCAGCCCCTGAAAATTTCCATTTAAAATCCCACAGTGCTATCTCAAAAACTGTCATTCTCTTGCCCTATTATGCATAGTGCCCAACAGTCAATATCAGTATGCAGTGATCAATGCCAAATGTTAGGTGCCATTGTATTACACCTTTAATTCATCCATTTATCACCCGGTCTTTTTTAAGAATGCGTTTGTAACTGGTATAAACCTACATGGACATATTGTTGACTAAAGAAAACTTAAAGAGGCCAAGTTGGCTTTACCATCAAAGTTGAGACTATTGTGTGTTGCAATATGCCTGTCCATATAGGCCATGTGTTATAAGAAGGGGATGCCTTTTCAAAAAATAATTTTTATGTCTGTGTAGGTGCCATATGTGGGTGCTGTGTGTGAATGCCACATGTGGGTCAGTGGAGGTGGTTGTTAGCTGCATGGTGTGGGTGCTGGGAACTGAGCTCAGGTCGACTAGAAGAGCAGCAAGTGCTCTTAACTCTCCAGCACCAAAAAGGGGATATCTGAGTGCAAATTGGCATGCGAACATGTATTTGCATGTAAGGAGGGAAGGAAGAAAGTGGAAAGGCACAAGATGGGTGATCAAAACTGCATTGCTTCTACAGTAAAAACAACTGGAGGTGACACATGTCTGTTTGGTCATTTAAGAAGAAGAAAAAGAATAACTTCTTAGTATGGATACAGTACCAAATGTATACCCTTTTCTTGGCACCTATGCAGGCTGTTGTTTTTATTAGCAACACACACATTTATAGACAATAGAAAATTTTAATTTATACCAGAATTAAGGCAGAGCATTTCATTTCCTTGGGCCACCACTTCACCCACTTTCAAATGATGATGATCTTGTATTACTACTGTGATGGGCATAAGAGTTAATATATGTTACAGTGCTTTGCAGACATTCAATCATCAGTTGATTCTGTGTCAAGAGACTTTTATTTGCTTCAATAGATCCCAAAGATCTGTGGAAAGTATGTCCTATATTCTGATTATTTGTGTTTCATTGAGAGAGGTTTTTGGGTTATTTTGGATGGAAATCGCTTTAAAATCTACTTTTTTTAGAATCATATTTATTGCATTATTTTCTTTCAAGATTTTTGTAGAAATCTCTATGTGAATAATTACTCATTGAGGTAAGAAGATTCAAATTTCTGTTTTGTATTATCAATAAAGAACAAAGACAGGAGGCATACAGCCCAGCTTTAGTTATTCATGAATGTCTAGGGAATAAGAATTGCATTGACAACATGGATTCGTCTTTATCCATTCTAAATTTTTGCATTCTTAGTTCAGTTTTTGTTTCATTTTGTGTTTGAGACAGGGTCTCACTGTGTAGTCCTGGCTGGCCTGGAACTCACTATGTACACTGGGTTGGCCTCAGACCCACAGACCTCCACTTGCCTCTGCTTTGTCAGTGCTGGAATTAAAGACATGTGCCACTATGCCCAGCTTATTTTGGTTATTTTTGTAAGCAGTTAAAAATTTAAAGTATAGCAGCCAGAGGTGATGGTGCATGCCTTTAATCCCAGCATTTGGGAGGCAGAGGCAGGTGAATCTCTGTGAGTTCGAGGCCAGTCTGGGGCTACAGGAAGACCCTGTCTCAAAAAGACAAAAAAAAAACCAAAAAAACCTCCAAGTTACTATATATTTATTACTTTTTCAATATAAGTGACCAGTATTATTTAGATTTAACTGTTCAAAAATTATAGAGAATTTCCCAAATATTATTTCATCTAGAGTAATCAAAATATAAACTTAGAAATTACATCAGAATTTTTTTCCTACTTGGAGAATAGAGTACAACTATCAGGAAGATAATTGTGTCAAACTTCAGAAAAAGTGCAGTGACTTCAGGTGACTGATCAGAGTCACGTGAAGTTTAACAAAGAACTTGGAGGGAGGCCTGAATATAGTGATATTTCTGCCAAAATGAGGGTGCTTTATTGGTTTTTAAGAATCAACTTGCTTTGTTTCTTTCTCTCATTATCACAGATGGGGTCCTCAGACTCATAGGGGGGAAAAGCAGCAATGAAGGTCGCTTGGAGGTATACTATAGGGGACAGTGGGGGACTGTCTGTGATGATGGCTGGACGGAGCTGAATACGTATGTGGCTTGTCGGCAGCTGGGATTTAAGTAAGGCCCACTGATATGTGGAAACTAAGGTCAAATCACATCTTTAAAGCCAGAGTTACTCCAAAATCCTTATCTGTGGTTTCTAAAAATACATGTTGTACATGATCTATGAGTCATCTGTCTATCTCTTTATCTATCATCTATCTATCTACCTATCTATCTATCTATCATCTATCTATCAATCAATCATCTATCCTATCTATTCATCTATCTATCATCTATCTATCTATCTATCTATTATCTATCTATCTATCTATCTATCTATATCATCTATCATCTATCTATCATCATCTATCTGCCTACCTACCTACCTACGTAGCTATCATCTGTCATCGTCACCTAAGTTCTAATATTATTTGCCCTTCATATCAGTCATGCCCCCCTACTCACTTATGGAAGTATAAAAAAATATGGCTTTTTCTAAGATGGCTAGTAACCACCTCATCATTTATTTCAAATACTTTCCCCACCAACTCTCCTTTTCTTGAACAAATTGGTTGAAGTCATGGGTAAAGCCTCTTTATATCTATTCAAGGAATGCTTGGTTTATTATGATGTGGATGCTATATCCAGATTGCAGCATTCCAGTGACTGATGTGGTGTCACGTGATTCTTTTTCTCTGAATGTGATAATCAGCACTTTTGTTTGAGAAGAACAGCCCTCTTGTCATGAGATGGCCTTTAGAACTGCTTTTGACCTTGCCCACTTACATTCTGAACCACACTTGGGGCAATACATTCATATCACATACATAATGCATGCTAGTGTAAAGTCTTAAGTTGGTTGAAATAATTGCAAATGATGCTCTTGAGTTAAATATCTGAATGGAACCTGTGAGTGACTCTTCCTTCCTATTTTTAGTATTACTATATTATGATTTTAAAAACTGATGAAATTACTTAATTTACAAATAGTCGCTAAATCTTAAAAACTATACCTCATTGAAGCCGTGAAAACTCATGTTTAAACATGTACTTTAATATCTATCAAAGTTATATAAAGTTTGAAAAAGAAAATTAAGTACCATCCATAATTGTATAGTTTTGAATACAAAATATGTTGTATAAATATGTGGTAGTAAATATGTGATTTTATAGACACATAATTTACTTTTATATTGGTACATAGTCACAAGTTTTGATGTAACATAATATGCATTAAATGTTCACACTATAATTTAATATTCAGGTCATTTTTTCTAGGTTAAAGTTAACTTGTAGTTTAATGTTAGTTTACTTATAAATAATGCTATCATAAAGACACAAATGTACATATTCGCCAATATGTTTAATTTTCTTGCATAGCAGTTGTTAAAATGACCAGGTCAAGTGGTATGATGTAATATCTAAATGAATATTGCCATTTCGTTAATAGGAATTACTTAGCAGATGTCATGTCACATTGCAGCGAACCTGCTCTCACTGAGAGTTGTACCCTCACTTTTCAAGGGTTCAGGGATATGCATAAGTCCTATTATTGTCCATTGATTGTCACATTTTTCCCTCATTAATGAAAATAATTGAATGATACTAAATTTTTCCTCCTATTTTATCTATTTTAATTTCAAAGACCAATGCCATTTTTCTTTCATACAAAAATCTGGGCTTACTAGTGTTAAAAATGTTCTCATTGATGTGTTAGGAGAAGCACATGATTCATTTCAGTTTACAGTAGAATTTCTGAAAGAGAATATTCATTTGGAATGAGAAAAAGAGTACACCTTAGGTTCTTTGTACAAATGCAATACCAAAGTTTAGAAAACTCTCTGTCCCAGGTGTGATGACGCATGCCTTTGATTCCAGAGATCAATACCAGCTGGGTCTGCATGTCGAGTTGCAGGCCACCTGGGACTCCAGGGAGACATTGTCTCAAAAAACAAACAAAACAAAACAAAAAGCTAAAACCAAAACAACAACAAAAAACTTTCATTGTATGTTGTGCAGTTGAATTAGAGAAATGAAAATCAAATTGATGCATTTGCTAGAAAAGTGTTTTTAAGCTGAAGGTGACAGCAATATGCAATTTCAGTTGATTACTTTTCTAGATAAGACTTAATTAGTTAGAAAACTAGGAGGAAAAAAAGTCTTAAAATGACTAGTGAAAAGTTGGATTGCTTTAATTTATTAAGTAATGCATCTGTTTAAATAAATTTAGTGATTATATAGTAAAACAATTAGGAAAATTTATGGCAAAAAAAGATTTCTTCATATTCTTAATTAATAAATAAGAACATCAAGCAGAAGAAATATTGGCATAAAATTTCTGGCAGAGTTGAATTTCACTGACTCTTAGAATCAGTTAATGCCGACCTACGTTACCTACCTTACCTACCTACCTACATATGGAAGTGTATTGATTTTTTTAAAATGACACTTTGAAAGACACTTTAAATAATTTTTTAAATTGAGACACTGTCTCCCTATAGCCCTAGCTGGCCTGGAACTCGCTATGTAGACCAGGCTGGCCTTGATCTCAAATAGATCTGCCTGCCTCTGCCTTCAAAGTACTAGGATTAAAGGTGTGTGCCACCATGTCTTTAAGCTAAGTAATATCTGGAAGCTTTTTTTAAGGAATGAAAAAACTTTAGGGAAGGATGAAAAAATAGGTGCAGAGTAACCTAACTGCCAGTTTTTAGATTTTACAGATATTTGCTATTTCACATTATATCATTTATCAGAATACATAATATAATGTAATAAAATCAGTTGGCACATAAGTACAATTTGTAAAAATGTATGCATTAAACTTATATAAGCTTATGAAAGGAACACTGCCATTATTCTTATTTTTATGGGCTGATATAAAAATTTTTATCCTGGATTGGGTGCTGTGTCGTAGCAATCCACACCCTCTGTCTTGAAAATGAGGGTGCAGAGAGGCTGAGAGAAGCTCATGAACTCAGATGGGCTCGGAGGCCCAAACCAAACACTGGTCCTCCCTCTCTAGTTCTTGGTATTACTTCCATGGTCAGGAATCTGAAGTTTATCTCTTTGCAGTCTCTCCGGCTCCTGGGTTAAACTGTAGACAAAACACAGTTACCCATCAGTTACTCATTGAGTCAATCAAAATTTGGTAAGATGACTCAAATGTGCAGTAAAGCAAACACAGCCAAGTCTCCAAGGTAGGAGAAAGACCAAATTCTTACCCTCTGAAGTCATGATACTTAATTGGGTTGTTTGTTTTATGGTTCGTTGATTTACGAGATAGCAGTCCTGTGAACAGCGTTCGTTTCATCGGCCCTAGGTATGGCAAACAGTCCTCTGCAAGCCATATTGAAGGCAGCACTGGGCCTATATGGCTGGATGATGTCAGCTGCTCAGGAAAGGAAGTCAGCTTCCTTCAGTGTTCTAAGAGACAGTGGGGAAAGCACGACTGCAGCCATCGAGAGGATGTGGGCCTCACCTGCTACCCCGACAGCAACAGCAACGGATACAGGCTGTCTTCTGGTAAGGACAGGATGAAGCTCTCTCAGACCCACAGTTAGTTGCCCTGCTTCTCCAACCACTGGTCTAAAATATGAAGCATTTCCCATCCTTGATTAGACTGTTAAAAGTCTTGTTTCCCAATAAAAAACGATCTTTTGCATTCTCAACAACCATGAGATTTCTACCTCTGAATTTTTTCATTATATAGAAGTGTAAATTGCTCAATAACAAGTGTTCATTTCCCCACATGTTGAAAGACTGAAGTTCATTCCCCAGAATCTACAGGGTGGAAGGATGGAGTCGACTCCCACGAGTGGTCCCCTGACTGCCACACATGTCCCTTGGTTTGTGTGCCTCCCCCACATACACAATAAACAAATAGTATAAATAAATTTTGTAAAACATTATGTCCTTGTTTTGTTTTGTTTTGTTTTGTTTTGAGACAAGGTCTCCCTGTAACTCCAGCTGGCCTGGAACTCACTATGTAGACCAGGCTAGCCTCCATCTCACAGAGTTCTACCTCCCTCTACCTCTAAAATGTTGGGATTAAAGGTGTTTACCACCTTGTCATTTTTAATTTTAAAATATAGGTAAATTTTTCTGAAAACTATTGAGATGGATCAGAGACATCTAATTTAAGGTGGATATCTTTTCTTAATATTGAACTGAAGATTCAAAAAGTATAAAAATTGAAAACTTTAAGAATCTTAAAGAATTTTATCAGTTTTGTTTTTTAGGGATTGCTAATTTTTAAAATGTTCTCTTGTGAATAACCCCAAATTTCAGATACATATAATAAGACATATAATGTTTCATATGTTCTGTTTATGACATAGCTGAAATACTAGCTTTTAAATTTTTTCAATGTATATTTTTATTGAAGTTTTGTGCATTTAAGACAATACATCTTAATATTTTTGACACCCCCATTTGTACCCTCCCATAACCTGCCCACAGAATTTTAAGCATTCTGTCATATATGTTAAGGCCTATTGAGTCAAGTGTGTACCCAGATGGTCTTTGGTGTGAGTTCATCCACTGGAGCCTGTTCAGTCTATCTACCATCACTCACTTAAAGATGCTCAACTCTCCCTCACCAGCTACCAGTAAACAGTGCATAGAATAGTCACTTAATAAACATATATTGTATTGGCCTCCTAATATGATTCTCCTCTCCTGTCTCGGGAAATGACTGTGATTAGGAATTGAAACTAAGGGTCAGATATTTCTGGGCACAGCAAGGAAGGATGGAGAAGTGAAAATGAGTTTGGCTTCATAAGGACACCAGTTAATAATTAATATTTAACAATTAAGACACACCCTAATGACTCCACAGAGGGCCTTAAACAACAACACTTGGGGTTTTATTTGGGGGGAGGTGGATTTTGTAAGTTTTCCAATAGTAGTTTTTTAGTTAACAAATGTTGATTCAGCATTTTTGTATGTTAGTTTAAGCATGTACTAAATATTTTGGTCATTTGCTCCCTGGTTCTACCTGCTTGGTTGTCCTGATAATTTTTACCATGCTTTATTGTAGTCACTAAGTCCTTGCCAGTAAGTTGCCCTGAAGCTAGTGGCCCTCTGTAACTAGCTGACCCAAACTTTATTATTAGTTGCTTGGTTTGCTGTAACAAAGGACCACAAATTTAGTAGCATCATAGACACAGATATTTATTATCTCGCATTTCTGGAGGCTAGGAGTTCAAAGTCGGGATCTCAGCAGGCCTGGTGCTCTGAGAAGGAATTTGGAAGGAAGGGCTGTAAGGGATGAGTGTTCTCCACGTTCCTGTCCTTGACTTGTACATGGCAGATCCTTTCCCAGCACGTTTCACATTGTCCTGCCCTTAAAACTCTGCATCTGTCTTCTTTCCCTTAAGGACAACAATTGTATTGATTGGGATGCACCTTCATGGCTTCACAATTGTACCCTGAGAGTAAATCTCAGGGCCTTAAGTGTGTGTGTGTGTGTGTGTGTGTGTGTGTGTGTGTGTGTGTGTGTGTTGCTGTTGTGGACAGAGAAGTAACATTCTATAAATGACTTAATTTATGCAGTTTATACCTAAGTTTGCTAGAGATGAGTTTTTAAATTTTAAATCTTCATATTTTTGTGATTTAAGTCCTTCCTTTGGAATAAATAATAAATAGCTCTGGATGGAAATTGGTAGCTGCCTTCTGCCACCCTCCCTTTCTGGTAGCCCACCCAATCAAATTACCCAAGTATGTTAAGCGTGTATCTGTTTCTACCCTCCTAAAAATCCTAACTTTGGAATACACATTTCCAGCTATGCTTATGAATTACAAAGTTACTTAGAACAAAAGAACTCTGGTAATGTTCTTTTACAATTCATAAGTTAGTTATAATAAATAGCTCATGATCTTAGAAAGCCATTCATTCACTTCTTCATTCATTCACTCATTCGTTTTCATTCACTCGTTCATTAGAGCAGCTTTTGTCCTCTGTGTACTAGAACTGTTCCAAGTGCTGGGAATACAGTCAGGTGAGTTGGGCACTTCGACTCCAGGGTTTCAATGGACACAGTGAGAGACAATGCAGAATTTTATTAGCAGTTCATCTCTCTCCAACAAGGATTGCTAGCTGATTTAGATCTGATTTTTAAAATAATTGTATTTTGTGAAGTCTCGTATTTTTAACATAATTTTGTTTTGGCTTTTCTAATATTTTTAAACGATGACTTAGGTTTTCCTATCAGACTAATGAATGGAGAAAATAAGAAGGAAGGACGCGTGGAAGTTTTTGTCAGGGGCCAGTGGGGAACGATTTGTGATGATGGATGGACAGATAAAGACGCAGCTGTAATCTGTCGGCAGCTTGGCTATAAGTAAGGAAGACATAATTATCTGGAATGAGCTTGATGACCATTTCTGATTGTTCTTTTTAAGTTTATTCTAGTAAGTTATTCTTTACCTAAAATTTGTTTCTTTATTCAGTTGAAAATACCGAAAGCATGCTGACTACTTTGATTTGGAATTATAAAGAAGTAATAAGTACAGTCTAGTTCATTTTTCTATATTCTTTCAAAAATATATGTTAAGTAACATAATAATAGAGTGTTTATGTAATAACCAGATAGCCCAATGCTGACTGTTCCTAGTACTGCTTCCCTCAGCCATAAGTGTTCACCTTTTTCCTGTGGATATGACCCACCACTGCGTCCTAGCATACTGAACTAATACCTGATTCCTGTTATTCTTCATAGTCACACTGTGCAGAGTGACTGTGAACAATGAGCAAACGCTGAGCAGTTGCTCCTGGAGCTGAGGCCAGGACTCCGCCTTTTTGCTTCAGCTCTCATCCTTGTGAATACTTGTCCTTTCTTGCAGTCTGTTTGGTGCCTTTTTGTCCTGTATTTCTTCTCTCTCTCTCTCTCTCTCTCTCTCTCTCTCTCTCTCCCTCTCTCTCTCTCTCTCTCTCTCCCTCTCTCCTCTCTGATGATGATGGTTTCACTGTTTAAAACAGCCTCCAAACTAAGGCTGATGCTCTATGCAGTATTCCTAGGTACAAGAAGACCACGATGTGCCTTATGGAGAATTGCTTATTTACAGTATGAAGCAAGAAAACATGAAGAGAAGGCAGGTCCTGGCAGGTCAACCTTTGCTAGTCCTCCTCTGGGTGACTTGGATTTTCTTCATCCGCATTATGTCCATGGCAGTGAAAGCACACCACCTGGGGGCTTTGGAGTTATAAATATAAGACAGTGTTACAACATGGGGTCTGGGGAGATGACTCATTAAGAGTGTATGCTCTGCAAGCCTGAGGACCTGTGTTCAAATCTCCAGCATGCACATAAAAAGCTAAAAGCTAGGCATGGCTGTGCATGCCTATAACCCCAGCATTGCAGGGCAGAAACAGACGAACCTTGAGGGCTTGCTGGCCAGCCAGCCTAGCCAAAGTGTTAAGCTTTTAGATCAGTGACATATCCTATCTAAGGACAATAAAGCAAAGAGCAATGGATGAGGACACCTGGCATCCTGCTTTTGCCTTCGCACACATGCTCAATGGTCTGTGTGTCTCCACACACAGACAGCACACACACAAAATTATAACATAGAGGACTGTGAAATTGAAGTTAATACACATGAATTACTTAGTTTATAATAGGTAACTGTTCTGGTTTGTTTCTACATTGCTGTGACAGAATACTCTGACCACTACCAACTTGGGGGGGGGGGGTTTATTCAGCTTACAACTGCCAGGTCGCAGTTCATCAGGGAGCCCAAGGTGGGAACTCAGGGCAGGAACCTGGACAGGAGCTGGAGTACAGGCCATGGAGGAACACTGCTTACTGACTTGCTCCCCTGGCCCCTGCTCAGCTTGCTTTCTTATGCTCACCTTCCCAGGAGTGGCACCATCCACAGTGGGCTGGGCCCTCCCACATCACTCATCAAGAAGATGCCTCTCAGACATGGCCACAGGCCAGCCCAATAGAGGCAATCTCCTTCAACCCAGGTGTGTCAAGTTGACACTAAAGCTATCCAGCACAGTAACTAATACTGATTTTTTTTTAAATTTAAAACATATCCTTACTTGCCCGGCATGGTGGTGCACGCCTTTAATCCGAGCACTCGGGAGGCTGAGGCAGGCTAATCTCTGTGAGTTCAAGGCCAGCCTGGTCTACATAGTGAGTTCCAGGACAGCTGGGGCTACAGGGAGACCCTGTCTCAAAAAGACAAAAGAAAAAACAGCAGCATCAAAAATACTCTTATATCTACTTCTTAAATATTGGTCAGTTCGTTATTTCTGTGTAGAATACATTTTATTTAAAATAACATTTATATTTTATAAAACTTCCATTTTTGTTATTGAAATATTACTTCAGTTTGCTACCTAGTTTTCAGCCTAGTTGCAATTCGAGTTGTCTTACACTCAGTGGGTCCATAATTTGTGATATTGATCAACATATGTAGTAGAGGAAAGTAGAGCGTCTACATGAGATACAGTGGTGAATTTAGCGATTTGTTTTAATTTCCTTTGCTCACCATATTTCTATTGTGCAGTCCTCCATTTGAAAAAAATAAAGAACTGTGCGTGGATTACATTCCTGGGGCACTTCCTTCCTCCAACTTAGATTTTAAGAAACACTCCTGTTTGACGCTGGTTTCTTGGGCATGTTTTTGCTTGGTGGATATTACCAAAGAAAACCAGTATCATCTACAGAAGTATAAAGGGCTACAGTGGTGTCAAGTTTGATTTCAAAAGTGTGTGTCTCAGACAAGTCTAAGGAGGGAAGCTCCTAAGCATGCATATGTATATAACTGCATTATTACTTTCATGTCTTTGCACATTGTTCGTTATTTTTTATTTCTTCACTTAGTACATTTAACATTCAACTCAAAAGTGAATGTAGCCTATGTCTGCACAGCAGTATCAGAACAGAAAGGATGGCTAACATGTGGACAGGCACACAGAGAAATTACAACCCTACAGACTGTAGGCAGGAATGTAGAGTGGTGCAGCTACCATGGAGGTTCCTCAAAAAAATAAAACTCGAGCTACCCGTGAGCCAGTAATCCCACTTCTGGGCGTACAGCTAAAAGAAGTAAAGTCGGTATTTCAAAAAGGTATCTGCGCTCTTTGTTCGTTGGGGTGTGAGTCACAGCAGCCAAAATAAGCAAAGAATCTAAATGTCCATCGGCAGATACATAAAATGTGGTGTGCGCGTGCACACACACACACACACACACACACACACACACACACACACAGAGAGAGAGAGAGAGAGAGAGAGAGAGAGAGAGAGAGAGAGGAAGGGAGGTTATTCTGCCTTAAAACAGAAAAACATAAGGAATGAAGCCATTATACTGTGAAAAATCAGTCAGTCCAGCAGGGATTTCACTTACATGAGGCATCTAAAACAGTGAAATCCACAGAAAATGGAGTGCTTATTGCAAGGGTAGATGGAGAGAAAAACTAGCAGTTGCTATAAACTTTTTGTTAGAGCCAGGTGTGGTGGTATATGCCTTTAATCTCAGCTCTTGGGAGGCGGAGGCAAGCTGATCTCTGTGAGTTCAAGGCCAACCTGGTCTACATAGCAAACTCAGGCTGAGTTACACAACATGAATAAGTTTCAGAGATGTGCCACAACATAGTTCCTCTAATTAACAGTATAGCGAGTGTACTCTAAAATAGATTGAGGATGAATTTCATGTTGTTTTCTTACCAAAACTGAACCAAAAGAAATAAGAACAGCAAAAAGGAAATATTTATAAATGAGATAAATGGTGGTGATGCTGACATAGGTCTATGCATATGTCCAAATTCACTAAGAATTTTTTTTTAATATCAGTTAAACTTTGAAAAAGGCTGTTGTGAATCATACTATAATAAATATAGAGGAGAGTGCAGGTATTTCTTTGAGATACTAACTATAGCAATTCTCAATAATATTTATGTAATAATTACCAAGAAAAGCATCAAATGACTTCACTTTGTTACTTTTAAAATAAAATAACTTGCCGAGCAAGGTGGTATACACCTTTAGTCCCAGCACTAAGAAGGGCAGATAGATACAGGTGGATGGATCCCTGTGACTTCAAGGCCAGTCTGGTCTACATAATGAGGTTTAGGACAGCTAGGGCTACATAGTCAGATCCTATCTGAAAAAAAGCAAAGCAAAACTAAAATAAAATAGCAAGTAAATCCAGAATTTAATGCTAATATACCAAACTGATTACCAAATTTTAGTCAGTTTCTGCACAATCTACAATTTTCTTTGAAATGGTATTTAAAACGAGGCTATTTCAATATCTGATACATTTAAATATACTGGAATGTTTTTATGATTTCCAACTGAGGGGAAATGAGATTTTATTCAGGAACACACACAGAATTATAGACATGTCTGTGACTTGAGCAAGAGATCTTTTCCCATGCCTGTTTTGAGTCAAGAAAGCCTTTAGTAATGTATTTATGTAAATGTGCAAATCAATCTAGAAAACTCTTGATGCTGTTTAGTCGTGAGTGTCGTGTGTAGATGTTCTAGAGAGCTGGTCTTCTGCGGCTCTCTCATGTTTGAAGAATCTCTTGGTAACATTGAGAATCAAACTGCGTTAGAAAGCATTCCACAACAGGAAAACGGAAATGAGGTAATAAAAACCAGGAAACATGTATGAAACTAATGATGTGCTTAGGGCGAACAGAAAAGAGAAGCCATTTGTTCATTACATGTTGCATAACGTCTGACAAGGTGTAGCATGCGAGCATGTTCAGAGTACGCTGACAGTGCATTGGTATCAGTTGATTTCGCTCAGAGAGACTGAGCAGTCAGGATGGAAATTCCATTCTGTCTGAACTTTGTGTGACTATGTCTCAAAATGGGATTGCTCTTGAGCAACTTATTATAGTGGCATTCTTAAACAAAATTAAAGTGGTGTACCACCACTATTTTAGTAGCGATTTAACATTAAGTATATCTAATCTGTACCTTACATTTAAATATTTGCAAAGGACTTGATTTCTGATATAGCTTATATCGTGTTTTAAATAATACAATTACAGCATTCTTTAATATGCGATGGAGTATAAATTTAGTGATTTGATCATGCTATCCATTTAAAAATACATGAAGTAGAAAATGTTTATTTGACTTACAGAAATGGTACGGTTACTTTTCTCTGGGAAATTGTATTTTAAATTTTCTCCCTCCACTATAAGTAGAGGTGTGTGTGTGTGTGTGTGTGTGTGTGTGTGTGTGTGTGTATACATACACATATAGAATACATGCCGTCTACAGGATTTTATGCAGTACCCTGGTCACTTACTACCACAAGCTGAGGAGCCCATCATGCTGCTGTCCCCTTAAGCTCCTCATGTGCCAGTCCCACTGCTCTTACTATATTAAAAAAACCTCTCCTGACTTTTCTGGAATCCTATCACATTTTATAACATTGAAATATGTTATCTCAGTCAATAGTTTGATCTGTTTTTAAAAATATAATTTTGAGCCGGGCGTGGTGTTGCACACCTTTAATCCCAGCACTCAGGAGGCAGAGGCAGGTGGATCTCTGTGAGTTCGAGGCCAGCCTGGTCTACAGAGTGAGTTCCAGGACAGCTGGGGCTACAGGGAGACCCTGTCTCAAAAAGACAAAATATATATATAATATATATATATTATATATATAATTTTGAGGGGCTGGAGAGATGGCTCACCAATTAAGAGCACTGGTTGCTCTTCAGAGGACCTGGGTTCAATTCCCAGCGCTCACATTGCAGCTAACAACCATCTATTATTTCCAGTTCCAGAGGATCAGACACCCTCTTCTGACCTCTGTGGGCACTGTACAACACAGGTGCACTCACATGCATGCATGCAATATACTCACACACATAAAATAAAATAAAAATAATTAAATTATTATTATTATTTTGGTCTTTTTGAGACAGGGTCTCCCTGTAGCCCCAGCTGTCCTGGAACTCACTATGTAGACCAGGCTGGCCTTGAACTCACAGAGATCTGCCTGCCCCTGCCTCCTGAGTGCTGGGATTAAAGGCATGTGCCACCTCGCCCAGCTAAAATTTTTTTTAATTTAAAAAATATATATAATTTTGAAAGCAAGTAATTTCACCTTAGAATTTTGAATTACTTGCCTTTTTTGAGTATTGTTTTTGAGATTTTGTACATCAGACTGTAATTAATTTGTATTTATTAAACTCCATAGTTTACTGTATTGATGCTGAACTGTTCATATATCTGTAGCGGTTCATTTTCTGTTGCTATAACCAAAAAGCATAGGCTGAGTAATTTAATTTATAGTGAATGAAGTTTGTTCAGCTCAGTTTTGCTTTTTTTTTTTTTTTTTTGGTCCTTTTGAGACAGGGTCTCCCTGTGGCCCCAACTACCTGGAACTTGCCATACCACAGACCAGGTTGGCCTCAGATTTCCAGAGATCCGCCTGCCTCTGCCTCCCAACTGCTGGGTTGGAAGTTGGAGGCCTTTCATCCAGTGAGGACTTCTTGCTTAAAGAGGTAGCAGAGTTCACAAATGGCGTAGGACATCACATGCAGAGCGGGCTAACACAGGAGACAGAGCCCAGATGGCCTTTATAATGGATTCAGTGCTGAGATAAACCACTAATGGATTCGTCCATTCATGAAGGCTCTACCATATCCCTTCAAAATCCCATCTGGTCTCACCTTAATGCCTTACTTCAGTATGGGTTTTAAGGGGGGCATTCAAACCATAACTATCATTTCTAGCAAAATTAAGACAGTTTTTAGGGAATATAATGAGGAGTAGAGCCACAGTGTGTATACTTGTGTACTGTCAAGGTCATGGATGGATGCAAGATTGCTTTCCCATGTGGTGACTCTGATTTACTTGCTCAGTAGCAATGACAATCTTGTTTGTAACTTGTGGGTAGCCATTGTTTACCTCCTCAGGTTACCTCTGATGACTAACAAGACTCAACACTTCCCATTTGTTCGTTGGCCATCAGTGTTTTCTTTTATGTAAGATGCAATGTGTTGGGCTCTTCCTAGCCTGTTTTTTTTCTTAGGTTGTTGGAGTTTGGGTTTTTTTAAAGTTATTTCTAGGAGTATAATATATGCTATTTTCCTCTGTTAGAAAATATTTAGTCATAAATGTATTCAAATGTTCATTACAAATACCAATTTTCTAATTTCTTTTTATTTTCCTTAGAGCAGTTTCTAGGAAAGTAGCATTTTTTTATTTGTTAAATGTGTCAGTCTTTTTATTTATAGCTTTGTCTTGCTTAATATTTTTTCCTAACTTTATATATCAAGGATAGTTTTCCTTTGATTCTGACTCCAATGATTTTTGCCTCTCATAATTACATTCATTAATTTATTAGAACTTGACTTAACTATGGTGTTTAAAATTTTTCTTTCATTAAAATGTTTTTGGATTTATCTGGTTTTTTAAAAGTAATGTTAAAATAACAGCAAAAGGAAATATTCCAAAAGAATTCAGCCTTCAATTCATGATTCCTGGTTCTCTTTCTCTGTTGAGCTGTACACAGCTTTTTGCTTCTAAAAGAGCTAAAAAAAATGCTCTTAGGTGCCTGGTAATTATTTTATCTCACAGATTTCTTGGCAACATAATATCGAAGAGTGATATCTTTATAAGAGGGTAAAAAAATTGAAGGTGACTTTTTTCACATGCAGAATTTAAAATTACTATTTTTGACATGCCATTATTTGTGACTTTCTGAACAGAAGCTAAACAGAGGCAGAGGATTCCATAAAGTATCTATGGAATATGCCAATGAAGAAGGTATAGTAATTACTTGTTACATTTTTTGATAGTCACAAAAATGATTTTCAGTACATGTACATGATAATTTTAATATTTAAGAATTAATGAAGAGAGTTGGATCTAAGTGCAAGCTTCAATCTGTTCAGACTGATTCACCACATCCTTAAGAATGCTCTGTTTCCAGGGGTCCTGCCAGAGCAAGGACCATGGCTTATTTTGGGGAAGGAAAAGGACCTATTCACATGGATAATGTGAAGTGCACAGGAAATGAGAGGTCCCTGGCTGACTGCATCAAACGAGATATTGGAAGACACAACTGCCGCCACAGTGAAGATGCAGGAGTTATCTGTGATTATCATGGCAAGAAGGCCTCAAGCAGTGATAACAGAGGTGAGTCACTTCTGGGACTGTAAACAAGTCAGAGACCACTAATCCCCAAGATATCACCACAGCAGTACTTTGCTATCAAAGTTCCCGTGTGAAGGAATGTATACAGCCCCTTGTTGTTTGTGTTGGAATCTAGAGCTGGTGGGAGTCTGCAGATATGCCCAAGTGAGGTTTACAGAAGGCTGCAGCTGGCTTCTAGGACCTTAGGGGCTCCAAGATCAACAACTTGTTATATTCTCAGCCATTTCTGAACCACCTTTGCCTCTAATACAACAGGTTTGTTGCTCTCCTTAAAGATTCAAGATTGATATCTACTTCATAAAAAGGAAAGAAATGAAATGAAAACACAGAGCTGACTTAGAGGAAAACCCTGCTTTACTCATATTTTGTTCATATTTTAAAGAGTAGGGATAATTTTTAAAGTGGCTTTTGTTTTTGTTTTTTGAAGCAGAGTCTCGCTCTAGCCCAGGCTAACCTGAAACTCACTCTGCAGCTCAGGATGACCTTGAACTCACAGTGATCCTCTTGCCTCAGTTTCCTGGATTTCAGTCATGAGCCACCACATCTGACTAAAGTCAAAAGACGGATTTTTCTTCTGCACATTTTATGCCCTAAAATTCAAAAAATTTAAGGAAAATGAGACTATAGAACAATATTAATATAATGAGCAGTTCTCTCGTACTTAGAATTCCTTTCTTCACTTTTCAAGAGAATTTTATTTTCCACGCATTTCCTAAATTTGCTGTATTTTATTTTTTTATTTATTTTTAATTTTTTATTGAATTTTTGTGTATTTCATACAGAAAATCGTCTTTATGCCCTTTTCCCCTTTGGCCTCCTCCCATAACCCCTCCTCCCATAGCCCCTCCCCCACTGGAGTTCATATATTCTGTGATTTGTTCCCAGAAACCCCTCAGTGCAAGTTCATCCACTGGGATTTAGTCAGCTTATCTAGAGTTCCTCCCTTTAAGAAGATCAGCTCTTCCTCACCCAGCAGTAATCAGCTGCCAACAATTCTTTGACTAAGATTGGGGCCTGCTGTTCATTCCCACAGTTCTGTGCTGGGTTTTTGTCTACTTAAGTTTGCATGGGTCTTGTGCATGCTGATACCATTGCTGTGGGTTTGTATGAAAAGGGGCCCAGGCACGTGTAGGACTATTTCCATGCGGTCATGCACCTCCTCTCTGGCTCTTACTGTCTTTCTGTCCCCTCTTACCAAATGTTCCCTGAACCCTGGGTGGGTGGATTTTGATATAGACCTGTCCAAGGACCCACACTCTCTAGACTCTTATTTTCTGTGTTTTGGCTATTTGTGACTTTTTGTGTTCCTGGCCTTCTGTTGCATGAGGGAGCTTCGTTGATGAGAATTGAAAGATCATTAGTGTTCTCGTCATCCCTTGTTCTGTGTTCCCTGAGCCTTAGGAGTAGAGGTTGCATCCTAGATGTGCCACTTAGTCTTGGGCAATTCACAGTCTCTGTGTGTGACCAGTTGTGGAACTCTGTTATTATCTCTGTCTCTTGAAAAAGAAGCTTCTTTGATGGATGGTAACTGGGATACTTGTCTATAAATTTAAGGATCCATATCTGCACATAGTAAAAAATCACATTTGTCTAGGAATGTGACAGCCTTGTGGTTTTCTCTAAGATCTATGACCTCTCCAGCCATGTGTATTTGACTAGGTTACAGTACCACACCTGAGTCTCCTCCCATTGAGTTGGCTTTAAGACCAATTAGGTAGCTGTTGATTACCCCCAAGATATAAGTACCACTACTGCACCAATTTCGTTTGCTGTGCATTGATGTGGTTTTTTAGGCCTTGAAGCTGGGGTTGGAACATTGATGGATGTTCTCCCTTACCTGCTTGCATAGTGCTCTCCAAAGCTATGAGAGCTAGCTTTCAGAGGAGGTGGCTTCCAAGTCAGTCCCAGCTCTATCACTTCAAATCCTGTGTCCAAAGTATGTCCTGTCTTCAGCAGTAGGGTCTTGCCATCAAGTTCTGGGAGGCAATCAAAGACTGTGGCAATAGCCTGTGAAATATTGGGTGTCTCTTGGACTACCCTGGCCAGCAACTCAAAGGAAGATTTCTTCTGTCTGGCACGGTTTCTTGTTATGTAATCTTCAACTATACTCACAGACTCATGTAGGGATAGTGTCTGTGTAATTTTTAGTAGGTTTTTGGGCTAATACAGTTCCCTCTGTTTTTTTATACTAGTTAGGCACTATTTAGCTCTCCTCTTTCTCTCTCTGTCTTAGCCTCCCTCCCCACCCTCCCCATTTAAAGTGTCCCCATTTTCCCCACTTCTCCTTTGATAACTTCTATCATACTTAGAATTCTTTTTTAAACTTTTTTTAATTGATTTATTTTTATTTTATGTGTATGATTCCCAGCACCCACGTGGTGGCTAACCTCTGTAACTCCAGTTCCAGGAAAATCCAGCACCCTCTTCTGACCTCTGTGGGCATTGCATGGCATTGGTACAGTTACGCACATGCAGGCAATACACTCATACACATAAGATAAAACTAATAAAATATTAAAAAGAAAGAAAGAGTGAGAGAATTAAGTATTTTGAAAAATCTTTACCTTTTATGAAAAGAACGAACAATCCCTTTTGATCTGGATTGTAGGTGTATACTTTGGTTCACTCAAACATTCTCTCTCTCTTGCTTTTTAAACATTGTAATTATTATTAAAGATAATACAAGAAAAGAATTGATGGTGTTAATCTGGTGTTGAGGGACTTCTGAATGTGATGACATTTGGTAAGGTGGCTTTCCTAAATACACATTACAACTTCATATCTGTGACATTGAGGCCAGCCTGGTCTACATAGTGAGTTCCAGGCCAGCTGGGGCTACAGGGAGAGCCTGTCTCAAAAACAAACAAACAAAAAACAAAGCAATAATATAAATTGTATTTACAAATTGAATATAGCTAATTCTTTAGCTCATGTCAAATTCCTTAAGCAGTTGAACAATATAAAAACAATGTATAAACTCATCTTATTCTATATTTTTCTATGATGGGCAATGCCACTAACCCTGAATAAAAAACATCACAAAGTACCTCATAAAGAATTTGACTCCTTATCCTCCTGCAGTATGCTGCAGTTCAGGACAGTGACGTCTCTAAGATGACTGACTGCAACTGCTGGGCATTGATCATCTGGTGGGACACTTTTAGAAAGGAACTTGTGTTTCTCAATTTTATATTACACTGTATAGCTTAAAATGGATTTTCCTTTCTTGAAATCAGTGCTTTTCCCCAGAGTGGGGTAGATTTTAAGTATTGCTCGCTCAGTATTACAACATTGCTTAATGGCATCAAATGCATTGCCCCAACTTGAGGAATTGTAGACTTGTTTTTCTGATTTTATAAACTGAAGACAGACTAAGGGATGAAGGCTAAATTTTTATGGTATGCCTCTCAGATCATCTGGCAAATTAGCGATCTTGGGGCACATTGTTACACCTTTCTGTGTCAAGACCTCCCGCTGAGTCCCTGGTACTCCCTTGCCTAGTTATTGTGAGGCCGTTAGAGCTGATTTGTTCTCCATGTTCTTGGCACAATTCCTACCCTCCTCTTCCTCCTACACAGGTGGAAAAACAAGGGTTTGTGAATATAGTACATGTGCTTTATGTTTCCGAGTTTATATATTTATATAGAAACACTATATATATTACATACATATACTTCATGAAGGAAGTTACTCCTGCATACATTTTACTTTGTAAAATTATTTAAAAATTAGTCCTGCTTTTATATTTTCCTTTCTTTTGTATACCTATTTAACTCATATATTTAACTCTTCTCTTTGTGTTGTGTATTCAGGACAGAAATGTGAATGTACTGGATAGAGTCGGTTCAGTACCTAATGATGGAAAACATCATAAAATTTCTCATCTACTTAAAAATCATTGTCATTTGATTAAATGAGAAAATCTTTTTAAAAATTTTTAATTATTATTTTTATTTTACATATATGAGTGTATTGAATGCATTTAAGTGCACCCACACCGTACAATACCCATGGAGGTCAGAAGAAAGCATTGGATCCCTTATAAATGGAGTTACAGATGATTGTTAGCTGCCCTGTGGATGCTGAGAATTGAACCTGGGTCCTCTGCAAAATCAGCCAGTGCTCTTATCCATTGAGCCATCTGTCCAGCCTGAGAAAACACATCTTTTATTGCCAGAAAAAATATCACACAGTTTGTAATAAAAGGCATTTTAAATAAGGAAGGAAGTTCGAGGTGAGGGAGGAGGGTGTTCTCACCCGTCCATCACAGCTTGGTGGTTAATTAAGGACCCTTTCTGCTTCAGAGACCCTCTCGTCTGTTTGTGGTTTGAGATTATTACACCGTCGGCAGAAGAGGATCATTGGTGGGAAAAATTCGTTAAGGTAAAAGATTCTTCAAAGATTATTACAGATAAATTATATGCCTAGTGCCACAAACTTGAGATTCTCTTTATTATATATTGGGTTTCTTTTATAAATTAAGTACAGAGTACATTGATAATTTTCCTGTACTTTGATATGCATTTAATTTAATGTTATTATAAAGCTATCCCATGACTCATGAGATCAAGTTTCTGAAGAGTAATGTAGCTTTACTTTAACAGGGGACTCAAAAAATCTGTAACTGTGAAGATTCATCTAGTTTAGAATATATTTGGTTCTTTTTATAATTGCAAAAATATGTTTATCCACAATTCTTGAGAAGTTACCATCCCTTCAGAAAATTCTATAAGGAGCCAGCCAGATGGCTCAGTAGGTAAATGCACTTGCCCCCAAACCTGACAACCTGAGTTTGATCTCTATAACCCACAGGATGGAAGGAGAAAACTGTCACCCACAAGTTGTGTTTTGACATTAACACGTACACACACACACACACACACATGCACACACACCACCCATACACATGAATGTTTTAAAAATTAGAAAAAAGAAAGTTCTTTATAAAAAAAGCCAAGAAAAATTACAACAGTTGTCTATGCCAAACCAAAAATATACATCTGATGTATGACGTAAACTTTTAAAAGCATCAACACAGGCAATGTGAATACAGGATACCTTTCAATGATTTCCAGTGACACGGCAGAATTTAAATTTTGTTAAGACACCTATAAATAATAGCATTACCTAATGTATATTTATATATTAAAGTGTCATATTTACTTCTATAAGATTAAAAATGACAAAAACTATAGATACCATTGTGTAGCCATTCAGGTACTGAAAGGACCACATGATTTTTTATGTGGAGCAAGAAATTTAAGTTACAATTTATACCTGGATCATCTGTATCATTGAGAATGTGCACTGTCACTGCTGTAAGATAAGAAAAACCAGCAAGAAAAACCCAGACAACAGTCTGCTCACTAAAGTGACACTCAGTCCTCAGCAAAATCAAGGAATGCAATTATGGACAAGGGAGATTGTGTGTGCACTCACGTGTGAGTTCAGGTAAACAGGTGCCACAGCGTGAGTTGATATATTTGTTTCTTATTTGACCGGTTTTATATAACGTTTTTAATTTTACTTCGCTGGTGGAAAGTGGCATTGTTTTAAAGCTGTGTAGGTGGAGTGGACAAAGTAGAGAAATTACGTTAGAATCATGAACTATAAAGAAGGCATCTTGTTTCCAAGAGTGTTCGAGATGAGTGGAATGCACATAGGTGCCAAATCTCCAGCGCCCCTCAAGCCTGTGGCCTGCCGAGTTTAGGGTCATCATTCTCCATATTTGAAGGGATCCCTTTTAATGGCCTTCTCCCCCTACAAGCCGGCAAAGTCGCTGTTTTACCTGATGTTTTTCTTTGTCTTTTTGCTTCCCACGGATGTGTGGCTTGACTTTTCCTAGGGGTGGTTGGCCTTGGCAGGTTTCCCTCCGGCTCAAGTCATCCCATGGAGACGGCAGGCTCCTTTGTGGAGCCACGCTCCTGAGTAGCTGCTGGGTCCTGACAGCTGCACACTGTTTCAAAAGGTAGGTACGTGTCCCCCATTCCGAAAACTCAGTTGCGCCTGACTCACTTTCTGCTGAATGGCCTTTGCGGTGGCAGAGCCAGGCTATGAAACTTCCCTGTGTCTACTCCACCAGTACTGGGGATGTGCAGGAGATCACGTAAGGGAAAGCAACAAACAACCCACAGGAAGAGGCTTGCTGTTTTAGACAACTCTGGATCCAGGGAGAAGGGAAGATGGGGATTTAAAGAGGAAGCAGAATTTATCTAAGGCCCGGAGAGATGGCTCAGTGGTTAAGAGTGCTGACTGCTCTTGCAGAGGACCTGGGTTCAGTTCCCAGCACCCACATGGCGGCCAACAGCCATTCTTAACTGTAGTTTCAGGATATCCAACGCCCTCTTCTGTCCTCCATGGGTATTACATCTATGAGTATACTTATGTGAAGGTAAAACACTCAAACACATGAAATAAAAATAAATAAATATTTTAAAAAAAGAATTTATATGGCTGGGGAGATGGCTCGGCAGTTAAGAGCACTGACAGCTCTTGTAGAGGAGGATTCGGGTTGGATTCCCAGCACCCACATGGTAGCTAACAACCATCTGAACTCTGAGCATTGCATGAAATGGGTACACTTTACACATGTTGGTAATACACTCATACACATAAAATAAAAATAATAAATAAAATATTTGAGAAAAAATTAGGATAGTTGGGTATGGTGCCACCTGCCTGTAATCCCAGTACTTTAGAAGAGGTCATCATGGGCTATATAATGAAATTATCTCAAACAAACAAACAAAAAACAACACATGTACACACACAAAAACAAACAAAAATCTTATCTATAAATTCATATCCTTGTAGAAGTAAAATTGACTTTAGCTTATTTGGGTATGAATTCTAAGGAAGAGGAAATTCAGTTTTAGTGGGTTTGATGCTTATGTATTTCTGGTGTTTTGTGCCTTGGTTTTTTCTATTTCTACCCTTTTTTTTTGCTGTTGTTGTTTTGTTTTGTTTTGTTTTTTTGAGACACGGTCTCCCTCGAACTACAGCTGGCCTGAAACTCTCTATGTAAACCAGTCCGGCCTAGATCTCACAAAGATCTGCCTGCCTCTGCCTCCTGAGTGCTGGGATTAAAGATGTGCACCACCATGCCTGGCTATTTGCATCTTCTTCTTCTTCTTCTTTTAAATTTGGTGATTTTTTTTCTACCTCCTTGAAAGCCACACTGCATCAATTTTATCTTAGTTTTACTGAACTTAATCTTGATTAGGAAAGGAAACATGTTCAGTCCATCCAGAAGTTCTTCCAGTTTAATGAGGAAGCTGCTCAGAAATAGAGTCCAGTCCCAGAGCTCTCTCTGTGGAGCCTGCACTACACCCTGGCTTTCTTTTCTCCCTGTTCATTGCTCTTTCACAGGCTCTGGTAGATAGCTATTTCCTTACGTTAATTTTGGTATTTAGACATGTACACCTGGGGCTGGAGCGATGGCTCAGTGGTTCAGAGCACTAGCTGTTCTTGCAGAAGACCCAGATTCAGTTCCCAATGCCCACATGGTGGCTAACAACCATCCTTAACTTCTAGGGAATCCAGTGCCTTTTTCTGGCCTACTTGGGCATTGCACACAAGTTTTACATTTACATACATGCAGGCAAAACACTCATATGTATAAAATAAAAATAAATTAAAAAAAATTAAAGTGTTTCAAAAGAAAAATTCTTCCAAGTAAAATGTTCTTTCTTATTTTTTCTTACATGGTATCATATGGTATATCTTTACTTCATTATGGATTTACAGTCCAGCCATGTAGAGTCACTTTAACTATAGTAGGAATTTTCATTTCTGCAAAACTTAAGCATAGCTGATTTATTCCCTACTAATGAGTAGTTAGGTATTTCCATTCATCCGCTCTTACAGCATCAGTATGTGTCTCATTGGGCGCATACATGGGGTGTCTTGCCAGGCCCTGAAGCACAGCTCCGTTCATTGTTATCTGATCCTTCCTGTGCCTTGTATCAGACCCTATTGCAGCAATGTGTAAGTTTCTACTACTTCACATTCCCACCCAAAATTGACACTACCAACATTTAAACTTTTTGCCAATTTTAGAAGTTTTATTTCATTTATTTTTATTTTTTGGTCTTTTTGAGACAGGGTCTACCTGTAATCCCAGCTGGCCTTGAAACTTGCTACGTAGACCAGGCTGGCTTTGGACTCACAGCTCTCTGCCTGTCTTTGCCTCCCGAGTGCTGGGATTAAAGGTGTTCCCACCATGCCTGGCCTAAAAAATATTTAATTATGTTTATTTTATGCATATGAATGTTATGCCTGCATGTTTGCAAGTGTGCACCTGTTTCATGCAGTACTTATGCAAGTCAGAAGAGGGCATTGGATGCCCTGGAACTAGAGTTAGGGACAGTTGTTAGTCACCATGTGGGTGCTGGGATTCTTTTTAATTATATTAATTCCTCTGTCACAAATTATGTTCCTGTCCTTTGCCTATTTTTCTATAATATTGCCTTTTTAATAGTAGACTTAAACATTTGCGTATGTTTTAGGTACTTGCGATGCTCAGTTTTTGTCAACTTGACAGAAACTAGAGACACCTGGGAAGAGGGGACCTCAATTAAGGAATTTCCTCCACTGAAATGGTCTGTGGGAATGTTTATGAGACATTTTCTTAACTGCTAATTGATGTTGGAGGGAGGGCCCAGCTCTCTCTGGCAGTGCCATCCCTGGGCAGGTGGGCTGGTACTATACAAGAAAGCTAGTTGAGGGGCTGGGGAGGTGGCTCAGGGGTCAAGACCACTGGCTGTTCTTCTGGAGGACCCAGATTTGGTTTTCAGCACCCACATGGCTGTCTTTAACTCCAATTCCAGGGCACCTGACACCCTTCCCTGGCCTCTGGGGACATCGCGTACACTCGGTGCACTTATATTCATTCAGGCAAAACACTCCTACACATAAAAGTTAACATTTTAAAAAATTAAAAAAAAAAAAAGCTAGCAGAGCAAGCCACCAGGAAACAAGCCAGTAAGCAATGCTCCTCTGTAGTCCTTCCGTCAGCTCCTGCAACCTAGATTTTGATTTCCCTCATTGATGGACTGTGAACTTTCCTCCCCAAGTCAGCTTTGGGCAGCGTTTTACCACAACAGAAAGCAGACGACAGCATGTACAAAGCCTTTGTTGCTATGTGTTACAAATATCTTTTCCTAGTATTGGTCATGCCTTTTTGTTTATGGTTCTGTTTCCTTCCTCCCTCCCTCCCACGCTCTTTTCTCTCTTTTCTGTTTTTGGTAAGGCAAAGTCTTACATAGCTCAGGCTGGGCTGAAACTCACTAAGTAGCCAAGGATGACCCTGAACTTTTGGTCCTGCCTCCGCACCGCTCAAGTGTTGGGATTACAGGGGGTGTACCACCATACACAGTTTTATGCTGCGCTAGAGCTCTAACCCAGGACTTTATGCGTGCTATATAGGCACTTCACAGTCCGAGTCCTGCTTATGGTTCTTTTCGTAAGAAAATATGTTGACGTTTTATGTATCACTTTGGTTTAAGTTTGTAAAAAAAAATTTGATTTGTAAATTTTATTTAAAAATCTTCTCCCAGTCATCTATAGTGTATCCTCTTACTCCTTCCTTAAACTATTTAAAGCTTTTCTGTTTGCAGTTTACTTTTGTGGATGGAATATGGTATGCGGAGGGGCCCGATTTTATACTCTTCTTTACAGATTGTTTCCCCAACACTTTTCCATCTTGAATGTTCCAATTTTCCTCCACTGATTTATGCTATTATCATATACCAACGTCTCATCTGTCTCTTCCACTTAACTATTTCAGTAATTATTTCTAGAGTAATGTTCCATGCACAGGGTGCTTCAGAGGATATAAATCCACATTTATAGGTTTACTGTTTCTGGAATATAACTAAGTTTAACTAAGTTCACCTCAATACCGATTGTTGTTTGCATGTCTGTGTTACATGAGTGGCAGAAACAGTGAAGAGTATATATGCTCATTACAATAGCAAGCAGTTATTTGTCCCTGATGAACCTGGGCATGTGCTATGCACTAGCTGTCTAGTGGAGAACAAGGCTGGTTGGTTCTTGCTTGTTATACAGTTTATGGTGTTGCTGGAGGAGACCCGAAGAAGGAAACAATAATTTCTATGACCAGAAACAGTTTAAGGCACCATCTTTAAAATGTATTTTTTCCTGCATAATGTTAGATTCATTCAGCTTGTTAGTATCAATGTTCATGGGTGCCAACTCCATGTCCATGGGATGTTAGAGCTCATGCTCAGAGTATTCATTTTGATCTAATGTCTCAGGTGATTCTTATGTTTCTAAAGTGCAAGTGTCACTTGTTTAGTGAATAGGATAGTAAATGTTCTGAACATTTGAAAAATAATGGTGGGGAAGAATATAACGCAGTTGACAGGTATTTAACTTTGTCTTCAATACTGTTCACCAAACTGAGTAAATAATGCATTTGAAGATAGAATCATGTTCGCAAAAGATAGTGATAGGCTGATTCTAATAAGCAATGTGGAATAGGTATAAAGTAAAATGCTGTCTTTAGTTCCAGAAAACACGGTCCAAATACAGCACAAGTGCAGTGGCTCAAGGGTCAGTGTCTAACAGGCTTCCTCTGTGTCGGTCATGTAACGTAGCTTCTCACAGCAGGAACTCACTGACAGATGAGAGTCCAACAGGGAAGTGAAGAGCTTTGCTGTTCTGTCTCATTGAGTTCAAGGTATTGGAAAACAGCACCATCTCTCTTAGAACTAACTGCACTTGTTTCTACATGCTACAGCTGGGCAGTAAATGATGTGGTGCACCCAGAAGGGCAAGCAAGCAGAAAGAGGTGCATATGTGGATGTTGCTTGTTGCTTCTGACACCACAGATGTTAGTGGGAAATAAGATGACCTTTAGCACTAGAGTTTTGTAGTTGTCTGTTTTCAGTTCTTTCTCATGCATGTGTGTTTGTGTATGAAAATGTTCATGTGTGTACACATGTA